TGGTTTGCGTTTTCTTTCGGTTCTTCACGAGCAAACGCGCTTGCGAGGTCCGACGCACGCGCTACACCGGGGCTGAGGAGAAGCGCACTCTCGGAGCACGGAAGTAGCACTTCCTGGATCCGGAGTAATCATAAGGGATGGCTGCAGAGGAGTGAGGAGTGTTGTTGTTGTTGGTGGTGGTGGTGTTGTTGTACCTGTTAGTCTTCCACTCTGTCACGTGCACACATTCTAATATGCACCCACGTGCGCCAGACAGAATTTCATTAACACATTTGCTCATAAATCAAAGTATATTTCAGTTGTTTGTCTGAAATGCACTTAGTGCATTATCGTTTCTATAGTGACGACTCATTCACAGGACTGTAAAAAACAATTACTGTAGATTTTTACAGATTTTTACTGGCAACCTGGGCTTACAGTAAACAATAACCTGGGTTTGCAGTAAACAAATGTAAACATATTTACAATAAAGTACTGTAATATCTTACATGGTTTAAAGTAACACATCTGATTGATTCTGAACAGTTCTGAAGTGTAACTCAAAGCTTTGCACAACAACTAGCACAACTAGCTTGCGGTTAAACTCAAACTCAGCAGGAAATGCCTCTCAAGGCTCAGTGCGAGAGTGCCTCTTTTTTAAACTGGACATGCCCCCACTAGGCCGAATTCTGCAGGAAAACAAAACTGTGCATCGAATCCGTACAGACAACATCCACATCTACAACATCAACACTCTCTCCAAACAACTACAGTCCTACAGATGCACTATGGAAATGCTTTGAACACACTGATAATTGGATGCGTCAAAACCTTCTTTACCTCACGAAGGACAAAACAGAGGTTCAGCACAAAAGATGAAAGAGTTAAGGTTCATGTCAGCCTCAGATGCTTGGAAAGCATTAGAACACATGGCCTTCTGATTCTGAGCAGTAACTCAAAGCTTTAACCACAGAGCCACAACAATTAGCACAACTAACATGCAGTGACTCAGTGCAATCTTTTAGTGGGGTTGAGTCAGAGGTAGAAGTGGTTGTATCAGTGTGTGTTGGTAGCGCTAGTTGTGGTGACTCAGTGTTTAAGGCTTGGCGTTACTAATCAGAAGGTTGTGTGTTCAAATCCCAGCACCACCAAACTGCCATGGTTGGGTCCTTGAGCAAGACCCTTCAGCTCAGTTGTATCCTGCACTGAGGCAATGTACTGGATCGTGTGTTATCATATGTGTGTGTGTAAGATATTACAGTACTTTACTGTAAATATGTTTTACAGTTGTTTACTGTAAATTTTTTTACTGGCAACTCAGCATTTTTTTTACAGTGAGGGAATTGAATCTTAATTAATAAACTGTGTTGTTATTTAACAAAGGAAAACATAATTGTTGATTAAATGTTTATTTAGCATTTTTGGAAAGAGTCTCCAGTGTCAGCATTTTGTAACACTCATTCACTCCAACGTTCAACTGCTTTATCCCAATCAGGGACAGAGTCTATCCAGAGTCTATCCCAGGAACACTGGATGTGAGGCAGGTGCTGTCGTGGCGAATACTTCTACAGACCAGAATAAGAAAAATAAGTTTCAAAGACAAGGGGTTCTGGATGCCAAAAATCTATAGACTTTATTGTATCAGACAACAAAGCCGAGACGGTCTGCAGAGCATCTGATTTACATAATCGTGGCCCATGCTTTTATACAATTCTAAAACAATGATCTCATTGAAGGGGGTTTTCTC